GTTTATGGGGTTTAGGAGTTTATGCAAGATGTCATCGGACGTCCCATGCGAGAAGAACGCGAAGGTTTAGGACGTAGCGTTAAGGGTTTAGGGTTTAGGGGTTCAGGGTTTGGGGTTTAGGGGTTTAGGCTTCAGGGGTTCAGGTTTTTAGGGTTCAGGTTTCAGGGTTCAGAGTTTAGGGTTTAGGGTTTAGGGGTGAAAGGCTTTGGGTTTAGGGTTTAGGGAAGAGTCGAAGGCTTCAGGACGTTAGCTTTCCAGATTGAACCTGGAGACATACAGGGTTTAGGGATTTAGGGTTTAGGGTGTAAGGTTTAGGGTTGAGGGTTAAGTTTGGGGGTTTAGGTCATGGGGTTTAGGGCTTTAGGGTGTGGGGTCTAGGGGTTTGAGAAGGGGTGTTGGGTTTCGGTCATTAGGGTTTCCAAAATTTTTTAATTTTTGGAAGTGCCGAAGCACCTTTGGGTTATTTACATTAGTGTAACTCCTAGTCTAGAGCCCTGTTATCTTCTTGGGTATAGTGGTTTGCGGCTATCGGGGTTTAGGGTGTTAGGGCTGCGGGCGTAAAAAGAGCTTGAACTTCACCCTGCAGATCGTAGTCGCAGTGTGCTTTTTTGGTTGGTCCTAGTTTTTGGTTCTGAATCTCCGTACATTTGCTGTCACAAAGCCGCCGCTCAGGCAGCCCAACACTCCTCAATCAAGGAATGCGCCTGAAATCAGAATGTGAATCCCTAAACCCTAAACCCTAAACCCTGAATGTTTTTTGTTTAAGCTACATTCTTTCATTGAGGAGTATTAGGCTCTCTGAACATCGGTAACCCTGAGGATCCTATGGGCTACACCCAAACCCTAAACCCTAAACCTTAAATATCCCTAAACCCTAAACCCCAAACCCTAAACCTAAACCCTAAATATCCCTAAACCCTACTTGGAGGGTCGGGGGACTTAGTAGGTAGATATCAAGTAGAGTTCTAAGTACCCTTAAAGGGGATTATGGTGCGTATAAGTCTGTACAATAACTAGTTACTGAGTCCCGCGACCCTCCAAGTAAAGCCAAAACCCTAAACCCCAAACCCCAAACCCCAAACCCTAAACCCTAAATATCGCTAAACCCTAAAGCCAAAACCCTAAACCCCAAACCCCAAACCCTAAACCCTAAATACCCCTAAACCCTAAAGCCAAAACCCTAAACCCCAAACCCTAAACCCTAAACTGCTCGGGCTCGGCAGGCGACAGCCGCCAGACTCCCCGGGAACACCCCAGAGATCGACAACTGCGACAAAGCAGCGACTCCACTTAAGCCGGTGTAGGGTTTAGGGTTCAAGGGTTTAGGTTGAGGAGTTTGGGGTTGGGGGTTTAGGGTGTAGGGTTTAGGGTTTAGCTTAGTTCCCAAATATACAACCTTTAAATTTTTTGGGGTTCTTGTAGTTTAGTAGGAATCTGAAAGTTTAGCCTTTCGTTTGCCTGGCCTGTTGGGGAAGTTAGCTAGGGTTTAGTAAGTGCCCAGAGACCCCTTAATTGAGATTTAAGCCGTTCCTAAATCAAGGGGTATTGCGCTCTCTGGGCAGGAGGATAGCCAAGTTTAAAGCTTCTTGCATTGAACAATCTAGGCGTCGGGCTAATAGGGTTGAGGCTTCACTTCGGGTTCAGGGTTTATGGCGTTGGGTTCAAGCGATGTTGCATTCTTTCAGGGGTATTGGATCCTTGTGAAGATTTTTCAGGAGTTGGAATTTAGGGCTCGAGGGTTTCGTGTTTGAACAGGGTTTTGGGCTGTGTTAACCCTCAACCCTGAAGCCCTAAACCCTAGAACATCCTAAAACTAATCCCTGAACTAAACCCTAAACCCTAAACCCTATAAAACCCTATAAAAGCCTATAAAACCCTAAACCCTATAAAACCCTAAACAATCCTAAACCTCGACCCCTCAGCCTGTCATGTAAGATAATTAATGATTACCTATACTATTTTGGGGGGTTCCTTATTTATGAATATAACAGAATATACCCCAAAGCCCTATTCTAATTACT